CAATAAAAGTCAGTTTTTATGTATCTGTAACGTATATATTGATGCTTTTGACCCATTTCTTTCCAATTGTTTTGCCCCGGGCCCCATACGATGATTCCGACTATTTCATATATAGTTTATTGCATTCAGGTTTGCTTCCAAATTTTACGTTTTGATCACATAAACACGTATAAAGGGGATAATTGCAACGTATTTGTGAAAGTATATGTTACATCACATGTGTTATTTGATGAAAATTATGATTTTTTATTTATCAAAAGTGTATCTAGAAAAAAAAATTATATAGAACTTGATATAATATTATAAATTAATTAAAATTGATAAATAAATAAATCTAAAATATATAATAAGATTTTAAGGATTTATCCAATTCAAAATGGTAATTACTTTAATTTCTAAGATTATTTTTCATATTTTATTTATAGTATTTTTAATTAATGGATTATATGGTTTATATTGTTTCCCACCTTCTCGTTTCAACATGCCCCTACATACATATAACGACAACAAAACAAGATGGTTATGTTACATCGCTAAAGACAGCGGTAGAAATTCAAGTACTTTAAACATCACCAACTGTACCTAGTTATGTATAACTATTTATATGATGTATTAAACACTGAAAAACTACCTATGCAACCTTGAATTACAAAAATATTAATTTCTTGGATCTTGTTTTGTTAAAAACTTTGATGTTTCAATTTCTTGGATCATGTTTTGGGGGGAAAGCATAGGAAAAACCACCAGTTTTTTAGGATTCAGGAGTGAAGTATGATCGGCAAATTGTCAAATTCTCCAATCACTCGAATAAAATCAATAACTTGCATTTTAACAATCAGAACTAGTCCTAAATTTATCACTTTTGTCATATTATCGATTAATCCCATAAACTACTCAGTGCAATTATGCAAATTCACATAACACACACAATCAACAAAGTTAGGTCAACATGGAATCCTAAGTGAAAAAACCTAACAATGTGTTGGAGAAAGCTCTTCTAAACGTTTAACATCATGAAATTGCAGGGACGAACCCAGAAATTTTTTCAAACGGTGGCACCATATAATTAATATAGTATAATATACATCTAAAAATAATTACAAAAACTATGGTTTTTATAGTACCGATAGGGATGTAAACGAATCGAACGTTCAGCGAACCGTTCGTGAACCGTTCAGTGGGAAGTTCGTTTATGTTCGTTTAGCCCGTTCGTTTATTTACGTTTGTTTAGCATGTTTACGAACGAACATAAACGAACACGAACACACCTTATTTCTAAACGAACGAACACGAACACAAAGATTTTCGTTCGTTTACGTTTGTTTAGCATGTTTACGAACGAACATAAACGAACACGAACACACCTTATTTCTAAACGAACGAACACGAACACACTTTATTTCTAAACGAACGAACACGACGAACACAAAGATTTTCGTTCGTTTAGCATGTTTATGAACGAACATAAACGAACACGAACACACCTWATTTCTAAACGAAAGAACACGAACACACCTTATTTCTAAATGAACGAACACAAATACAATTAAGTTAAACGAACGAACATGAACAAACCTCTGTTCGTGTTCGTTCGTTCGGTTCATTTACAACCCTAAGTACCGATAAACAACTCCTAAACTTGTATCCGACGTGTCTTCATCTTTTGAAAACGGTCAATATATACCCAAAAATAATTACAAAAAGTATGGTTTTGGTTATTTGGGCTTTGTTTTGTTTGGGTTTTAGTTGCACCATTTGGATTTCAGGGAAATACGGTAGCACCTTCTAAACGATACGGTAGCACCGTTAACAAACCTAAATTTTTTACCCTTCGGTGACGAAATAATACGGTGGCACGTGCCACCCATGCCACCTCTATAGGTCCGCCTATGTGAAATTGTTTGTAATACTTCGGATAAAAAGTCCACCAAATAGTAATGTTAAATTCACAAATACAATGTATACATGCA